AAGCACAAACAACAAAGTTTTTAATATGTGTCATGAATTTCTATTTTCAGTAAACGTGTTTTGTTGTTCAATTGAGCATTACATTTCAACCATTTATACAGCCATTACTGATGTCATGATGACGTATTTGCTATCCTAAACGCTCATTTGATTCTTCTGGCTTCATAAATCACTAAAATAGCCAAGCTGTACTTTATCCCTTTATCGTTGAATAATTCGACCTGTTGGGAAATTTCTTTTAGGTATCCAATGTGATTGCAGGAGGTGCATTTTAAAAACTATTTCTTTGTTTCTGGTTACTGCTCAAATATATACTTGTTGTTGGCAAATTTAGAGGTATTTTTGTCATCTTTCCTTTCATTAATGTCATCACGCTTACCATTATTCTCACCCACCCTCCCCCTCTCTCTCTCTCGTTCTCCTACTCTCTCACAACTACCCTCACTAAAACACACACATACCTCACCACCTACTCACAGAAGTGTACATGCATCTACTCTCTCACTTTCACTCTCACACACATACACACACACACACACACACACACACTCTCTCTTTCTCTTTCTCTCTCTCTCTCTCTCTCTCTCTCGATCAAACCTTACACTTTTCTCTTTTGATACAAGCTACAAGTCGTCTTCTTGAATGTCTTGACCTATAAACAAAAATTTCATCAACATCGTTGAGAATACATATTGGAAAGATACTCAAACTCGAATTTCATGAATATAATTCATTTATAACATGTGCAGGTATTCCCAATTTAGGATTGCGACACTACCTAAACGTGCTTCGATTGCGTTTCATCGCCTGATCGGCAAATCGCCTTTTCCTAAAGACTTTCACGTAGTTGAGATATCCCGATGGGTGCTCGAATCGCAGTCAGAAAAAGAAAAAAAAGTTTACAAATGCTCAAGAAAAAACAATTTGCGTGTGGATTAACTTCAGTTTACGGCGTGCCTTTAGAATACAGAATTTACCTGAAATTTATACCGCCCAGGGCAATTAAACTGGAGCAGTGATATGGAATTCATTATACGGGCCCTTCTATTTATTTATGTGAGAGTTAAGCCAATACCTTTCAAGGGAATGTACAATTGATCTCGATGTAGCAGAGTAAGGATTGCTATTAAGTTTGCGCCTCGGGTACTGCTAGCAGATACACAATCGTATCTATAAGAGAGCTATAACGGAGCGACGAACAATTATATATAGCCGGACCAAAAATGAATTGAGTAGCATATACAATGCAGGTAGTTATGCTTTCAAAGAACCGACATTAGTTTAACTGTAGCAACCTGTTTCCCCATTTTTTGTTACTCTCGATACCTTTCTCCCTTATCTGCTTCCTAGTCACAACTGGTCTTGTCTCTATACTCTTCTGTTTCTCCACGTTTTTACCATCGCTAGTACTCTGTTTAATAAACACCTTCACCCCATCTTTGTTCTTTATTTGAATGACGAACATTTGATCACTCCCCCATTGTTGTCAATCTCATTACCCCATATATTGTCTTCAGAATACTTAATGGCTTGTTCAGATACGGCGATGTAAACCGCTTTCTTTTTAGACTTTTTAAATACTTGTACATAATTATACTCTGGCTTGATGGTTTGTTTTACCTGACCGCTAAGAAAGCATGTGTATGTTTGGAAGAAACCAACCAGGGGACCGACGGCTTTTAGTCCTTTCCGAGGGATAATGAATGACAACTGAGCGTAACAAGTCACTTACGCTTATTCTTAACTCTGCGTTACAAGCAGTTCAAAGCGTGTTACAATTTACGTCATCATAAATAAATCCTGCGGTTTTGCCGAGTTAATCCGAGCGAACCTTTACTTATAATCACACTGATATGGATAGTATAGCCAAAGAAAAAACTTTTGCTTGGTGCTGCTAACGACCGACCCCAAAATATTGAGAATTTTTTTTTACTGTTTTTTAGAAGAAAAATGTATTGAAGCATTACAAACTGAGAAATATCAGCCAAAAGTGGGAGTAAAAAAAAAAAAAAAAAAAAAAGATTTCCTACCGACCGTCCGATGTGTTGGCACCTAAAGGGCAATACAACATCTTTTTTTTGTTTCGGCGTTATGTAAAAGTAAAGGAGTACTATCCGCTATAATGATATCGATCTTCAATTAATGGGACATTCTACCGAGGTACCACTTCACTTTTTCACTTCACTACCAATGAGTCTTATTATACAATTGGTGTTTTCTCATTTTTTCTTTGTTCTAATCGCTTCATCTATCTAACGCCCGAGAAAATAAGAACAGCAAAAATAAAATCACACATACCACACTCTATGTAACCATAAATATTCAGAATTGTACGGAAAGTAGTCGCACCATGAAAGAACGTTACCTTGTTTACACTTATAATCTATTCTACAAAAAGATATCTTTTTAAATAATCTTGGGGTTTTATTGCTCTCAAGTTAAATCTTGATGAATATCTGATTCGATGGTGTATTTATGTCTATCAAAATAAGCAAATTAATACAATGAATCCTGGGACTGGTGGCTCCTATATAAAGCTAACGGGAATTTCACAATTCAGTATTCAACGGGTTAACTATCTTAGGGCGCGTTCATGCTTGATTTTGACGGCCAGAATCAGGCATCTGTTACGCGTTTAGTTTAAAACACGCTTGCGTTCATGCTCACTTTTGTAGAATCACCGAAAAACGGCGATCACGATCGCCGATCGTAAACTCACAAAAAGATGCGTTTACAATTTGTAAACGCGTTTAAATGGGGTCAACGCACTGACCTCTAGTGGGTCTACGTAGCATGCGCACACAGGTTTGCGAATCCAGCTGAAGGCCACCCAAGGAGAATTGCCTGGAGAAGTGAGCATGAACACTACATCGTGGAACTGCGATCACGATGAGCGTTTACGATGAGCGTTTCAGATCGCTCATTCTGCCTTCAAAATTTAAGCATGAACGCAGCCAAAGAGGATCTGATTATATATCACTCGTGCGAAAAGAGAAGTGCGTTTATACGCGGAAGTAATGGATCAAGTAAGCTTTGTGCAGTGTTTTCCATAATTCCATATTATTGTTCACGATATATGGTTTGTTGCTTTCTACCTAAGATGTTGAAGAACTGACTTAAAGGTACGTCTTATGTTTTATTAAAAAAAAAAAACAATCAAAGATCTTGATAATATAAGCTTCAATAGTCTGAAATCATAAGGGTGTACAATATTACGTCGGATTTAAGCATATCAACTTAAAAGCTGTGTACTTTTCAAAATCCTGTTAATGATCTCATTTTCCCTTTATCTTCTGTTAATGATACACACGAACTGATATTAAATTTTAAAAAGTCCCGCTTAACAATGAGCTAAGCCTTTGAGAAAAGTTCATGTTAAAACATATCATGAAAGTCCTCTGCGTAAACTGTTAGTTCATCATTCGCTCCAAATGATTTCTTGTGTTTCTTCATTTGGTGTTTTCCTTTTTTTCTTCTGCTGCGCTGCTTTCTACCTAAGATGGTGAAGAACTGACTTAATCTTGCACACCGCATCTAACGAAATAACCAAACCACCTTTCCGTCTGATCATTATTCGCTGATATGCTTGAATGTCAAAGGATAATAATCATCAAATCATCGCCTTGTGTTTGGTGACCAAGTTTAATCCTAAAGCTTCGTTCAGATATGCCACGGAAAAGCAACTTTGTTGCTTTTTTACCATAACAAAAAGAAGGATGGTCCCAAAGTTGAATACGCTCCACATTTATGTATCTTATACCAACGAACTAAGTGACTACGCGCAAGTCCTTTGTTGCGCGCAGTTGCCATTGGTTTACACATACAAACCAACGACGGCTTTTTCTTTGCCTCGGTTTCACCGCGCCATATCTGAACTTGCCTTGATCGTCATTCACTGAAACTTCGGTATACGAGTCACACGCTTTGCGTCTTCAAAGAGTGAAATAAACTCATTATCGAAGCTGAAGATCGAAATGTTCTAAGCTGTGTGAATACCCGGGGACATCGCTTGTATGCACTTTAAGTATGCATGTATTATGTATCAAACAAATAGTTAATAACGCATAGATGATTATCAAACAAAACTATTGCTTGCGATCATAATAATTGTTCATTCAGACACCACTTTGGGCAAAATATATACCTGCAAAGGCAACAGCATTGTAAATCTCTTCTAAAAATGTCAATTAAAGAAAAGATTTCCATTAACTGTGTGTATCTCTGAATAACTAAATCGAAATCGCTGACAAGCAGCTTGTAGGTGAGAGCACTTTAAAAAAAAAAAATATTTAGTTTTTATCGCGATTTAATAAATGTACGATAAACTGAGACACATACACACACTGTATAGAATAAAGGGGTGCATATAAAGGGTCAAACTTGTTACACCAGCTGTTTCTTTTAAGGTGTTTGTTCGCACCTATTTAAACCACCTACGTACACTCTAAGGATTAAGGGATTTCAGATAAGGAAATAAACTTGTTACACCCGCGTCTTCTTTTAAGGTGTTTGTGACCACATTGTTAAATTTCACCTACAGAATAATGGTGTAGCTTAAAGAGCCCTTTTAATGATAACCTTTCGAAAGGGTGCTGGTGGAAAATAGAGGTGCTGCTTCGACAATCTCTGGGAATCTCATACATTTGCATAGAATCAAAATTCTTTGGAGGGTAACCACCCGATTCCATACGCCGAGAAAGGGTAGTTTTGGAGCAGCAAACGAGACAAAGGCTTACAATAAGCAATCAAACAAAAAAGGAAAGGAAAGAAGTTGAACGGTTAAAAAAAGAACATATTTTGTTTCAACAATCATAACAACGTTACCAGTGAGTTATGTAGTGAACAGTCGAAACGTGAAAAGGTTTTTAAAAAAGAAAAGAACCTTTGCCACAAAGAAAAAAACAAATAAGATAAGCACTAAAATTGAGAATTTGAACGTTTAAAAAGATTGAAACTCACCGTTCTAGACTTATAATCATCATTGTGAAGACAGAGCAAACGGGTGAGATGACCCCCACGTAGGCTACCAGCCGGCACATGACATCCCCAAGATTCCAATGATCACTACTATGGACGATGATCTGAAGGGGGATGAGGAACACGACGGTTAGGAGGTCGGCGACTGCCAGGTTGGCCAGGAAGAAGCAGGTGACGTTGTGGAGTCGACGGCTCTTGACGACGGCGAAGATGACGAGGAGATTGCCTGTCATGCCGACCAGGAAGGTGATGGCGTAGACGGCGAAGACGGGCACGTTGGTCAGGAGATCGAGAGAGTTGTCGTAGTCATACGATGACGAATAGGACGACGCCCATGCCGTTGGATCGTCGACGTCCGTATCGTTCGTGGTTGTTTCAAAGCCGTTGGCGAGTCTTGGCGTAGTGAGCATTAATTCTGGAAAAGACGCCATTGTAATAATTAGCCGTTTCAGGCGACTTTAATGATTAGCAGCGGAAGTCCATGTACCCCTCGAGAAAATGGATAAAGGAAAAAATCAAACATCCAATTATTCTCCAGTCAAATATCTAAGAAATTACTGCAAAAAATGTTTTACCTATGGATTTTCAGAGAAAAAACCAAAACTGTTTTAAGATCATGAGGATTATGACAGGAAACCGTCCACGAAGATAGAGTTTAAATTTGGCTAATCTTGTGTGAAATCGGTGGTTTAGGAGAATGCAATCCAGTGTAAACCTTTTTTTATAGCCCAACGGCAACCATTGACGTACACGGACACGCTAAAACAAGATTGTCGATACTGTGTATCTGGAAAAATCTAGCTGATATCATGAGGTATACTTGGGGATCTCGTCTTTCTCTCTTTCTATTTCTTTTCCCCCTCTTTTTCCTCTGCCTATAGCTGAATCAGGCGTAAAACGTTGGCAATTTAAATAGCGAGGAAGAGAATTGTGAAGTCCAAGCGATGAAGATGTGGTCAAATTACTCCGGGGAATCCGGTAAAACTTTTTCGGCAGAGACGGCGAATAATAAGATGACGCGAATGAATGCGTGATACGCACTGGTTCAGAGAAAATAATTCCAAGTTCAGGCATCCGCTATGTCACTTCGAATGTCCAACTTAAAACAGTTTCCGATAGCACGAGTTATTTGCTAGCTGTCTGGGCTTGTTATTACGAACGTTTTCAATGTGGTATTATACGATATACATCCGATATGAACCACTTCGTATATATATAGCCCTGTCACAACAAGTCATTCCAATGCATATTTAACAATCAGCGAGCTTCAAACTCAAAACGGAAAAATATATTTCGTAGACATAGTGCTCACAACAATCTACAGTGAGAATTCCAAGACTTATCCAACACAACGTCTGTGTAAGAAGGTTTTTTTCCCTCAATATCTATTCCGTCTTTTTTCCTTTTATATCTCGTCCTGACCTTTTATTAATGAAGGAAGGAAAAAGTAAAAGTCTAGGAAAGATGGCTCGATGTACACCTCCAAGTCCGTTTCCAACGACAACCGCACGCAAGGTAGTTTCTACGAGGAATAAGCTGTAGCTTGTAAAAATCGCTGCTAAAATGTTTGGTGCAGTGAACACCCCCCTTAAAGTGCGCGCGCTTTCTCACTGCACCAAAATCATGTCGTCAATGTCGTCTGGTCAATTGAGAGTCCGTTGCGAAGAAGAGCGCATCGTCTGGTGTAGATACAAAAAGCGATTGATTGGGGTTGGGACTGATTTAGACGAGAATTCAACTTTGTTGGGGCAATAATCAGGTCATCAAAACTGTGGGGTACTCGTCTGCATTCTTGTGGCGTGTAATTGGGATCATACTGACGCTTATCAATCAGAAATGATTACTTATGTCTGGGAAACGACCTCTAACAGGAGTCCGTTTATAGAGTCGGTTTGTAGATGAAGACAAAATAACTGACCGTACCGCTAAACCAGACGGCATCTGTGGAATGAGACCCGGCTTGATACGTCTGCGAAGAGACAAAGAATGCAAATAAACAAAATGTCAATCAACCAATGAGATACTTTCACACAATTCCTGTTATCCTATGAACATATGATACATTGTTATGCTTGTTGATTATAATTAAAATCACGCGCCTGTCACTCAATTATCGTAATGTCGGTTGTGATTTCCTCATATGATTGTTCATTAGCACCAGTGAATCATGGATTTATGAAAAGAGAAATGAAGCCAACTTATGTAAGAAGTGGACGTTATTTTCAATTTCAAGTATCTCCTCTTTTTTTTATTCAAATTGCTTGCACGCTGATCATATTATGGCTATTTTGCTGCGGTGAAACTAACAGAATGAGTCAGCAGAAATAGAAACACTCTCGAGTTTATAGCTGATAAATCACCGTTTTAGCGACTATCTTACTAGCTGTTGGTCATTACGTGTTTTTTTATTGTTATACAATAAATATAAATTACGGCTGGGGGAAAACAGGGTTTGTGACAAAGGAGGTTGGGTGAAGTTTGTAGAAAGAGACAGCGGGAAAGAGAGAAAGAGAGAGAGAGAGAGAGAGAGCGCGCGGGAAGACAGGAAGGGAGGTAGAGAGACAGAGACAGAGAGAAATAAAAGAAAAATGAAAGATTGTGCAATGGTTAAATGGTCGCACATACCTGCAAATAGCTGCAAAACAAAATAACACTCACTATGAAAAAATAAGGAAATCTGATCGTACGGACATAATCACACCATAGATCATATTTGATACATTTGATCCGTGTAGTCATGCTTAATGCCTCGTGCATAAAATAAATGATTTCAGTTGGCATGTTCAAAGCCCTTATATCTACTGACCAACCCAATATTAGAATCCAAAAGTAATGCAACTTCAAGCAAATTAATTATTCTAAATAATCATGAAAACTTGATATCATGTTTAAAGCGATGCATATGGGAGAGCATCTGCATACATTTGATATCGTGATTTAAAACAAAAACAATGATGCTCTCTCTATGATAAGATGTTCTGATCAATCATACAATAAACAAGATATTACAGGGAAGAGAACGAAACAAAAAGAGAAGAAAGACATTAGATGAAAATAATAGTAGTGTATTAAACTGGCAAATCTGAGGAAGAAAAAAAAAGGTACATTTCAACTGGGGTGGGGCACATATATTTTACATCTCCCCTTAGCTACCATACTGCTTCAAAAGATATTTGTAATAATGGTGCACTTTGGTGATGAAATACCAGGGGCGACGATCCCGGGGAGAGGGATGGGGGGCGGGATGACACGTCCCCCTCAATTTTTCTCCCCCCAGAAAATTTGAAAAATTGCCAAAACAAATGAATAGAAAATACTTAATAAAGACTGCAACAAACTTTTAGGCTCAAGAGGGCCCAAGGGTGCAACGTTTAGACTAATACAAATGCAAAAAAAATCTCGGTCGGTCGCTACGCTCCCTCGCATAATATCCTTCAAAATGCACAAGTAACTATAATTGTAGAGATCTGTATTCCGTTGGTATCACGTACGCACAGTTTACACTATGCTCCCTCGTCCCTTGCATTTTGCCCCCGGTCATGAAAGAAATTGCCGCCCCTGTGTAATACTATTAATTACTTACTGTATAAACTCTTTATAATAAGATGTAAATTTGGCATTTAAAAAAAATTATCATATTTTCCCAAATTAAACAGCTCAGGCACAAGTTTTCTACATCTCCTCTACAATGACAAACACCAGAAACAGTGTCATTAATGTACTGTAACTGTATTTTATTATGTTATGTTATTTAAATCATATCTCTTTATTCATACACTCTTACTTATACCAGGTAAAACGTAGAAACCCCTCAATTCCCCATGAAACGAATTTGCATTGTAGTGTTTAGTCATTAACATATGTAAAATTATTTTGCGAAAAAAAGACTTTCAGCGACAAAGTAAACGCAACCTGGTTAGTGTGCGCGTTTACTTTCAAAGTGAAACGGTGATTTGGAAATGTCAATGGGAACTCGTCAACGGTGATTTTGGAGGAAGAACGCAGTCGTTCACGATTATCAATAGGCGATCGTGAAGGCCATTCGAAGTGACAAAACGTGTTTCCTAAAAATAAAAAAACCGATCTCGAGAAATTAATTTGGCATGGAGTAGAAATAAAAGCTGAGATATACCGGCTGAAATGAAGTATGGAATTTGGAGGACATCTCTAAATGTAAGTGTATCGTGAAGAAAAGAGTTATTTTCTTCGGACAAATTCTGTACGTGCTCTTGCCCTGTGCATTTTAAGTCATCATTGGCGATTTGTTTATAGTAAAAGTAATATATGTCCTATTGAGTGCGTGTGTGTGTGTGCGTGAGCGGTTGTGCGTGTGTGTTGTACGTGTGTGCGTGTGTGTTGTGTGTTTTTGCGGGATGAACATTTCCTTTCTATTTTATTACCACCGTAATGATTTAACACTCTCTTGTTGTCTATTAATGTTGGCACGAATTTGCCCTTTTGATTTAGTTTATATATGAATAAATGGAAATGAAAATGAAATGAAAATGAAATTTAACATCATTAAGAGTAATGTGCATCATATTGAGGGAGTTTCCCGTCATTTACTACTATTCCTTCGTTATATAGTGCTTCAAATGTTCAAGAGAAATTAGAACGTAATCAAAGGGGATCAGCTTATTCATTAGTAGTAAATCTTCGAAGCGCAGAAATTATATTTCTCTAGACACTAACTAACTAGTTTCTAGGGTAACGGTTAACCTCACATACGTTATGCTAACACGCTGTCGAGTCCGCTTTCTCGTTTTACGATCGCTCTAAATTTATAAAAAAAATTATCATTGATATTCAGCCGACCAGCAGATTTCCATTGAATCTTATATGGACTAATAGGATACAAATCGGGTATTTATACGCTTTGATGAGTGAATACTTCTATTTTGGCAGAATGTGGAAGGAATTCCTATAGGCATACTTTTCTGTAAAAAAAAACGGCACTGTATCCATGGTGATTTCTTAAACCCCGTTCGGAAGCAGTTTTTTATAGCTGATGCTTTTAACATCGACATTAAGAAGAATGCACCATTTGGACAAGCCATTTGTCTTCACTTTACAGGACATTAATAAAAACCGTACAGGTCCGACCGTTATCGCCTTGGCTCGTGTCATATTCAATACTTAAGGAAAGGGCCACTTCATGCAGGTATACTTTGATATATATATATATATATATACCCATAATGATGGAAAGATATTTAATGCTAGTGAATAATGTTTTACGATGACAAAGATGAGCTTCAATAGGTCTTTGTTTCTTTCTTTCTTTTCAATAGGTTGAACTATATGTTAAATCATAAATATGGCGGATTGCCCATTTCAGTGGCATATTGATGATGCCATTATGAACGTTTAATGAGGTCTTTTAAATGCAGTAAGTAAAATGATGTTGTATTGCCCATCATGTCGATCTTTT